TCCTAAACATAACGCGATTAGGCATTCGAAATCACCGGTTCACCGCCGAGCACACGTTAAGACGTTGGACGTGCTGTCGAGACGCTAACCAGAGTGATCCATGTGCGTGACCACGAAAGACGGTATTCTCCAGGGTCTCTGGAAGGCTACTAGGACAATCCTCTAGCACAGGTCCTAGATGGCTTCGTTCGCCAAAGTAGTTTCGGACTTTAGGAGATCTTGAGTAAACACAATAGAACCTCGATACAGTTAGCCGACAGCTAGTAATCGTTCGTAATGATCGGCTCCGACAGCATGCACACGGTCACATCCTACTCTAACCATGTGCATATCCTGCAATGATCTTTGGTCACTGAGCGGACACAGATTCCACATGGATGTCCGAGTGGGTGTCTCTTCGAGTGTTCGGGTAGCTGGATAGCTTCGACCGGACACATCTCAAACTGAACTCCGAATTCGCTCTACATCCCGATTTGGCAGTATGGGGGCGTAACCTAACCCTTTATTATTTCCCATAGCCGTAGTGAAATCCTATAGAGGCCATTTGCAGACATGTATTTCTGCATTTTATGTAGAAAATGCTTCTGAGATAGCGCCCAGTCCCTACGAGAGGGTACATTGAGGAGGATACCTGTGAGAGTCAAATATATGCCACTGTCCTGGGTCCGTTCAGCTGTAATCCGCCGGTCTGCTAGCCTAATGCTCGCTGACAAGTAGGAAATCCGTCAGCGTTATAAAGCAGAATCCGAGATGTCTCAGATTAGACAAGCGAACTGGGAAAATCCCCTTTGGTTTCGACCGCAGCCGTCCATTCCAAAGTAACTCCACATTCCCTTTACCAATCCCTCTTATTCCTAACAGATTTGTCCTTAGGAGATCCATATCCTCGCAACTCTAATCCATATTATCACCAAAATGGCCTTCATCGATAACACTATGACTGTAGGCGGCGTTACCCTAGCGCGCGAAGAAGAGCACCGCCGTCTTATCGACATGCAATGGCGCTGCATGTCGGAGATTAAGCAACTTCGTGATCATGAATCAAGCTTTGGCACAGAAGAATATCGTATTCTCCAGGAAAAGATAGCTGCCTACAATGAGGTTGTCGATTCTCTGCGGGATCATGACTAT